CTCCAGAATCAATTATCTGAAAAGGTAACATTTTTTCGTTGCTATCCCATTTAACTATAACCAAAATAAAGATTTTTAAGATTTTTATGGGATAGCAACGAAAAAATGTTACCTTGCTCTATAGATGGTATGAAATTTGCTGAAAGAATATTTGTTTGTGACATGACTATAGTATTGTATGTAGATTCTAGTGGTTGAATCAAGGCCAAAAATTTATTATCCTGCTCTTCTGTGAAAGATAGATGCAATGCTTTTGAAATATTGTATTGTTTGTTGAATTTAACACAAGAACTAACATTGTTACAACTTCTATCTACTTCCATTTCAGATGTGCAAGTGTTCAATTAATTAATACAAGAGTTATTCTTCTATTTAGGTTTATAGCTGAGTGGATAATCATGCTTTTTGTAACACTTATCCATTGTATGATCAATGAGACCACAATATGTGAATGTTGGTCTTTTGATATTTTGTAACACCCTAAATTAATTTTTTTTGTAATTTAAGGTTCAATTATAAATATAAATTCTTAATTTTTTATTTTTTTAATTTTAATTTAGAGTAAAAATGAAGTAAAATTGATGGATGATTAAATTAAAAAAAATTTGGAAAAAATGGATGAAAATTTGGGTTCTGGAGATATTTTTGAAAGAAAAATCAAAAAATAGGGGTCAAAATATAATTTAGAGAAGTTTCGCCACGTCAGACGCCCAGTCAACGGGCCCGGCGAATCAGGACGCACCGCGTGGCAGCGGACACTAACGCGATGTCACCCAGAAGGCCACACGGGCGATCCGCGTGCCTGCGATCGAACATCCCATATTCGTTCTCGCGCGCACGGACGACCTAGATGTGTTCCCTCTCCAAACGCAATCGAACAATCAGATTTGAACGTGATCGGACAGCCCATAGTGGATCACGATGGAGGGCCCAAATTGGATCGCGATGAACGACCCAGATCAAAAGAAAACAGATATAAATAACCCCCATACGTACTAAATCCTAACCCTAAACGCTAGAACCCCTCGCTGGAGTAGAAAACATGGTCGCCGGGAAGGAGCCGTCGTCACTCGCCGCCATCCCAGAACTCTTTCCAATAGCCAAAAAAGGTAAAAACTTTTCTTTTTTGCACGAAATTCAATTTTGAGCTCACTCATGGCCAAATTGAAGTAAAAAGACCAGCCAATTGGACAAAAAATGCTGACGCCACCACCGCGGGAAATTTTACAAAACGCATCCAATAAGACCCTTTTCGATTCCCGTTTTGTATAATTTTTCCACTGTTGTGATCATCGTGTCCTTCTTTATAAGTTGAACAGAGTAAAACACCCAACCGCAACGTGAGCCGGAGGAGCCGTCGCACCGGAGAGCCCTGCCGTCTGTGAGTTTCAATTTTTTGTATTTTTTGGGCCAACTGAGACCCTTTAACATATTTTCTTGCAAGGATCGATGCAAAATCGGCCAAAAATAGTCAAAAACAGCCGATCTGAGGCGGACCGTCGCCGGAGCATGGCAGAGCCACCGTGCTGGAATTCCAAAATTGGCTGAGTGGACCCAGGGACTGATTTTGAGTTTGTTTGGAATATTTGTAGGTACTATTAGTATGTTTCAATTTCCAGAAAAAATTTAAGGAACCTAAGGACTGCCCGTAGGTGCGTACACAGCTAAACTTTTCAGACATCAAATCGAGTAAGGATCCCTCACTTTATTCCCTATCATAGAATTGAAGTCTAAATCAATAATAATATAGTATTTATGCAAATTAAATAAATATGCATAATTAATTACGGATTACTAATGGAACCCAAATCAGAAATTGATTTCTGTTAATTTATTTTACAGTCTAAAAGTATGATAGTATCTGATTTATTAATTTAATGGTTTGAATGCATGAATTGCTACCTTACGTGACTACTGTTTGATTAGAAAATTGAGATATGATTGTATTCCTTGATACATGTTTGTTTGCTTATGTGATCATGGTTGATTTGGAAAATAAAGATTAAAGAAAAATAGAAAAGTTTTGTGATTAAATAAACAGATAGAATGACAGTCTTACTAGATATCCTGAGAGATGGTGGACGGACCGGGTACATAGGGAACCCTGCCATGAACTTTGTCTCATACTGGATAAGGTATGGAGACTTAATAATTTGGCACTCATACCAGACGGGGTATTGAGGTTTAATAAATTAGTACTCATACCGGACGGGGTATGAGGACAACCCATAATTAAGATTGTTAAAGGAAAGAGTTTACGTGTAGCAGGAACACCCCTATGAACCCCCATAGATACTAGTAAGCTAGTAAAAAGATGACAGTTATTGTTTGGTTATTTGACGATTTGTAAAGATTTATGATATGTGCTATGTTGTTGTTCTGACTAATTGCATATAAAATTATGATATGTGTTATGTTATTGATTTTGTAGGTTATTTTTAAAAATCTCGTTATGGTAAGTGAACGATAAATGATTTTATGATTGATAAATGAATTTGCTAAATTTAATGCTCTATTAGTTATTTTTATTTTAGACCCACCTTTATTTCTATGTCGGTGATATAGTGTGATATTCTTACTAGATTAGTGTAGCTCATTCCTTATTTAATCATTTCAGATCAAGAGAACCAGGTTCCAGATCCCAATCTGTAAGAAGATTGCGAGTAGATGCTAGATATTTTCTTATTTCCGTTTATTTCCTTATTTCTTGTGTTTCTTTCAAAATGGTGAAATTCTGAAATGCTGTTTAGTACTTTTAAATTATTGTGTAAGAAATGTAAACCTTAACCCTTTTATTTTGCTTTCGCACTTAAGTTATTATCTATTTCCTTTGTATTTCTGAGGTCATTACATATTTCCACTTCAAGTATCAGTAAACCTTTTATTGTTCCTTGAACTACAAAAATGACCATATGTGTTTGCACTTCTAGACAGTTGATTGTTAACTTCTCTACTTGTATGTAAAATGTTTGATTCATATTGATTCAAAGATGTCCCTATACTCGTACTTCTTTCATATTGCAGTATAAGAGGGAAGACTTTGTTTATATTTGGTAATGGCTTTATAAGTAAAATTTGGGACTTGACCACACTGAATGCTCCATTTAATTCTTTCAAAAATTTTATAACTTGGTTATTTTCTTGATATTTTCGAACTATAGATACAACATTACATTTGACATGTGTATGGAGGCAATAGTCTTAGGTTCTCAATTCATTCCACATAATTTATATATATATATATGTAATATTTTGTAACTGAGTGATTAACTTATTTCAAACTATAAATTTCTTCTTATAAATCCAAAATTCTCACTGTCAGTTTAAGCAAACTGATCATGCAAATCCTTCCACAAATCTTTTGCATGGTTAATTCATATCACACCATGCGTTACAAATGGTGATAGAGACATCATGATCCAGGAAATTGCTATTGTATTATATTTTTTCCAAACTTCATATATTTTATCATCTTATTTAGAGTTTGAATATATCCATCTACAAACTTTAGCTTATTTTTGGAAATTAGAGTCATTTTCATCGCTTTAGACCATTAATGAAAATTGTTACTTATAAGAACTCACAATGTAAGCTGAAGTAATGGATTCTCACTTGGATGTAGATAAAATAGACTTGGCAAGATCTCCTCCATTATTGATGGCTCCAATACAATGACTGAAGTAGTCATGCCAAAGAATCTATATAAATGAATCGAAATGCAAGATTGCTTTTTTTTTTTTTTGAACTCATTCTAGCAATTTATGGAACACTTCTACAAACTTTTGTAAATATAATGGGTGAATCTCGATAACTTTCAACTTTAGGGTTTCCTCTTCTCTACCTTTTTTGGCCACTGACGAAAAAACGAACAAGAAATCTGATTAAGAGGATTGATTTCGCTTTGATACCATGTTAAATTATGAAATTCTTAAGAAATTGAGATTAAAATGAACATGAGAGAGTGAATTAATCTGAAACTAACCCAACTAATTAACTAATTTTGACTTTGACTATAACTCTCTATTAATATTGCATCTTCTATGTTACGAATAATAAAAATTTATTGCCACTTATATAAAAGATGCTTGAATAATAATTAATTATGTAATGTTGAATTTATCTTATGATTAAATACTATCAAATACAATTTATGTATTAATTATCATAAATTGATATATGTCCTCCTTCATAAGTAAACAAAAGTTACATAAATTAAAAGATTATTAATTGTAAAAAACTTACTTGGTCCTCATCAAATATTTTATAATTGAATATTCGTATACAGTCTGCATATTAATGATCATAAATTTAATATGAAAGTAATGAATTACAATATATTAACACACGTAAATTATGATAACAATAATGACCAACCTTATATGTATGTATTATACATAAACTATCTACATACAAGATTATATATAGATTAATATCGAGAAACAATTTTCATGCCCGGATTAAACGTACGTATTTTAGTATAAGATAAAACCAAATGGAATTATTGTCAATTTCTCCTAAATTAACCACTATTTCTTTTATTTTGTTTCTTGGAACTAAATGTAGTTCTTAAAATTAGCGAAAGAGACGTGAAAACATCAATCCCATTCCCACCCAACATTATTTATACAAGTCTAAATTACCCTCTTCATAAATTTAACAAACCATCTAAACACCGTATGTTATTTGTGTAAGTATAGAACTCAACGTCTTATGCTTCCATCAACCCCACATTTTCTCTCCATCCAAACAAAAAAGAAAAACCTAGTTACCCAAAATTCAACGTGTAGGGAGGTTAATTGAGCGGTTAGCCATTAATATACTTGCACTTAACTTTTTAGACATTTATAAACCAGAACTTGAAAAGGCAAGAATAGAGCCAGAGCCACATTACCATCTTCCTTTATTACTTTGTTTTCCAAAGCAGAGGAGTTTCAATAATTTTCCCATCGCTTACAACATTGATTTTCCTGATTTTCTTTTTCAATTTTTGAAAAAGTGTAATGGGAATTTCTGGTAGAAGAACAACAGCCATTGTTGTGGCATGGTTGGCTCTCTTTGAAGGGTACCTTGTAAGTAATGTGAATGGCCATTTTAATTACAAAGATGCTCTGACCAAATCCCTCATCTTCCTTGAGGCACAAAGATCAGGGAAGTTTCCTCCAAATAACAGAGTGCCATGGAGAGGAGATTCTGCTCTTAGTGATGGAAAACTTGAAAATGTATTTCAATTTTGTTCTTAATTCTTTCCTTAAATTTTACAAAACTAAAAACCAGTTTTATGTTTCGACAATGATTGATTATATTGTGTAGGTGGACCTTGTAGGAGGGTATTATGATGCAGGAGACAATGTAAAGTACGGACTTCCAATGGCTTTCACAATCACTACTCTGGCATGGGCTGCCATTTTTTATGAATCGGAGCTAAGAGCCACCGGCGAGTTGCAGAATACTCACGCAGCTATCCGATGGGGCACCGATTATTTCCTCAAAACAGCCTCTAGAAAAAACCGGTTGTACGTCCAGGTAGGGTTTTCATTCATTGATTTCATATATATTTACAATGTTTCAGTCGCTGAGTATATATATATATATGTATATATATATACTAAAATAAAAATGGTTTGAAATGACTCAGGTGGGTGATCCAGTAATAGATCACGAATGTTGGGCGAGACCGGAAAATATGGGGACGCCAAGAACAGTTTTGAAGATTGACGAGAATACTCCAGGGACGGAGATTGCAGCTGAAACATCTGCTGCAATGGCCGCCGCTTCCATCGTCTTTAGACATATTGATCGTCCCTATGCCCGTCGTCTCCGCAATAAAGCCAAGCTGGTATTCAACTAATCACTTGCATATATCATGCATTTTCTATATATCCACGAATATGATTTTCTTAATTCTTTGTTTTGATTGTTTCAGCTGTTTGCCTTTGCAAAGTCACACAAAGGAACTTATGATGGAGAGTGCCCCTTCTACTGTTCTTTCTCTGGCTATAATGTACGTAACTGGTTATATACAAATATAATTAATGAATAATAATATGTGGGTGGTGAGTGCATGTAATAATATACATACAAACATATATATATATATATATGTTGCAGGATGAGTTGATGTGGGCAGCAACATGGTTATTGATGGCAACCAAGAGGCCAGTTTACTTTGATTACATAAAATATGAAGCAATTAGTGGTAATGTTGCAGAGTTTAGCTGGGATCTCAAGTATGCTGGAGTCCAGATCCTCCTCACCAAGGTATTCCTTAATCAACACCAAGTTTATATCTCAATATAGACATATTTATATATAGTTGGTATATACGTAATGATGTGAAAAATTCCATGCAGTTGTTCTTTGAGAAAGAACAGAGTCTGGCAATGTACAAAAACCAGGCTGACAGTTTTGTCTGCTCTGTTCTTCCCGATAGCCCCTATCACCAAGTTTATATCACTCCAGGTACCCTCTTTCATATATACATATGTATATAAACAAATATATATGTTCTATATGAATGATTGAGATATATAATGCATGATGCAGGGGGACTGATTCATTTAAGAGACGGAGCCAACACCCAGTATGCAACCTCCACCGCTTTCCTCTTCAGCGTATACAGCGATATTCTCGCCAAACACAACCAGAAGGTCAACTGTGGAGGCCAACAATTCGACTCAACCCGGCTCATGGCTTTCGCCAAGCAACAAATAGATTACATTCTAGGAAACAACCCAAGAGGAAGATCGTACATGGTAGGGTTCGGCGTGAACCCACCACAACAGGCGCACCACAGGGGAGCGTCGGTGGGTTCGTTGGTTCAGGGGATTATGAACATGAACAGCTGCCCCATGAGCTTCGTCCAGTGGTTCAACAAAGACCAACCCAACCCCAACGAGCTCACCGGTGCCATTCTCGGCGGACCTGATCGCCAGGATAACTTCAAGGATCTCCGCTGGGAGTCCGTATACACGGAGCCTTGCACCTATGTCAACTCCATCGCTGTCGGCGTCCTTGCTAAGCTTGCTGCAGCGGGTTAATTAATTACTATATATAATATACATATACACGGATATTCGAATTGATAATTAAGATAGAGGCAAAATCTAGGTTGATTTTACATGCATGCAAATTTACTTAGGTTTTTGCGGATGCGTGCTTCAACTTTGTGTTTACGGAAGGTTTACCTCTGGAATGTTAAAATATAGATATTTTATTCTTTTTTTTTTTTTTTTCTCTTTGAAAGAATGATTGTTGATGTTAATTATCCTACAAAGTTTTGAGAGAAATTTTTTTAATGAATATGTTAAGAGTTAACGCATTAAAAATATTTAAATGGTTGTTAACAAAATACGTAATCCTGTTAAAAATACTAATTAATTTATAATTAAAAAGAATGGAATTAATTAATCATATCGAGCTTGGGTTCCTTTTATAATTTGGTTTATACTTGAGATCGTATAAAAACCCGAAAAATAAGTATATATATTATGCTACCAAAATATACATTTTTCTTCCAATGATTGCACTTCACATTTGAGGGTTGACATGAAGCAGACCATGAAATGGCTATGGCAATATCTTCCTATCAAACCACGCGTAACTCAACAAAATGAATGATTTTATTTACATCACTATATAGATTTATTTGATTTGATGCCGGAGGCATTTTATTTATATCTATATTACGGTAGATATTATATATATATATATATATACATATACATATTACATATGTAACGACCTCATAAATTTAAAAAAAATTTCATATAATAATTTAAGTATGAAAGTGAAATAAAGATTAAGGTTAACATCCTTTATACGATAACTCAAAAGTATTAACAAATATCACGAAACAAATTCTCCGAAAGAAATACGAAAAATAGAAAAAAAAAATA